AAGAAGTTTGAGGCTGCAGTGAGCTGTGATTGCACCACTGCACTCCAGCCTGGGCGACAGAAGAAGGCAGAGAAGTCAGAGGGAGATGTTGACTAGGAAGGAGGGCACAGAGAGTTAAGATGGCGCTGGTTTTGAAGATGGAGCTCATAAATCAAGAAATGTGGGTGGAGACTGGAAAAGGCAAGGAAACCTTCTCCTCTGGAGTCTCCAGATGAAAACGCGGTGCTGCTGACACCCAGTGACACTAATTTTAGCCCAGTGACTTCTGTTTAGGACTTCTGACCTCCAGAACTATAAGATAATAAACGTGTGTTATATCAAGCGACCAAGTTTGTGGTAATTTGTTACAGAAGCACTAGCAAAGTGATACGATAGAGGATTCCAATGTACAAGCCTGGAGCCGTGCTGGTCAGACAGCAGCAAATGGTGAAGTGGGATTTGAACTCTCTTCACCTTCACACTAGATTGCCTCTCCATGACACCTTAAATATTGAACAAGTTCAAGGCCAGAAAAAATAGGCGTGTGTAGTGACATTATCACAAATTTCTCTATCATGCTTTTCATCAATGAATATTCTAGCACGCCTCACAAATTCACATTTTCATTCTTAAGATAAAATGTTTTTTCTGTTACTTTACTGATTACTTTCTAAGCATCTGTCTTCTCATCTGAGTACTAACTCAAGAAGTATTAGGAGGATTAACTAAAATAACACAGTCATGTGTTCCAGACCATGTCTGGCATATACCACAGGACATATTCAATACATGTAAAATCATCAATACCACCGCCTCTGAGACCATTAACACCACACGAGGAGAATTTGGATCTATCAGACTGGCTCCAACTAGCACAATTACATCAATGAGCTAAAAATATTAGAAAGTTGGATTTGGGTTCAAAACAGAAATGAGCACTCCTCCCAACTTTAAATTTAATTTTTTTTTTTTGAGACAGAATCTCATTATGTAGTCCTTGGTGCTGTACCATCACAGCTCACAGCAACCTCAAACTCTTGGGCTTAGGCGATTTTCTTGTCTCAGCCTACCAAGTAGCTGGGACTACAGGTGCCCTCCACAATGCCTGGCTATTGTTATGTTGTAGTTGTCATTGTTTAGCAGGCCTGGGCTAAGTTTGAACCCACCAGCCTCAGTGTAGGTGGCTGGTGCCCTAATCACTGAGATACAGGTGCTGAGCCAAATTTAAATATTTTTAAAAAAATACAAAAAGCAGAAATAGTAGTACAATGGACACACACAGAACCCTTTACCTCCTAGGTTTACCAACATTCCTTACCACATTTCCTTTCGATCTCTCTATATACATGTGCACCCGTGATTTTGTGTGTTCTGTGTGTTTTGAGACAAGATCTGGTTCTGTTGCCTGGGTTAAAGTGCAATGGTGTCATCACAACTCACAGCAACATCAAACTCATGAGCTCAAGTGATCCTCCTGCCTAAACTCCCAAGTAGCTGGGATTACAGGTGCCTGCCACACAGACCTTTTAATTTTTCTATTTAAAAAAAATTTTTTTTCTTTTTTTAGACAGTCTCTCAAGCTGTCACCCTGGGTAGAGTGCTGTAGAGTCACAGCTCACAGCAACCTCAAACTCTCGGGCTTAAGCGATTCTCTTGCCTCAGCCTCCCAAGTGGCTGGGACAACAGGTGCCCTCCACAATGCCCAGTTATTTTTTGTTGCAGTTGCCATTGTTGTTTGGTAGGCTGGGGCTGGATTCAAACCCACTAGCTCCAGTGTACATGGCTAGTACCCTAGCCACTTGAGCTACAGGTGCCGAGCCTAATTTTTCTATTTTTTGTAGAGACAGAGTCTTGCTCTTGCTCAGACTTTCCTCAATTGATCCTCTCACTGTGGCCTTTCAAAGTGCTAAGATTACAGGTGTGAGCAACACTGCCCACTTATTTTTTTTTAATGAACCACTTCAAAATTAGCTGCAGACAAAACATCACGTGATTCCTAACACATCAATCTTTTGTTTTTCATGACATTGATTTCTTTGAAAATTCCGGGCCAGATTTTTGTAGCATGTCCTACAATCTGGATTTGCCTAATTGTTTCCAGAAGATTAGGTTCCAGTTTAACATTTTTGGCATGAATGCTATTTAGGTGATACTGAGTACTTTTCACTGCGTTGCATGGGGGAGGAACATAATGCTAAGTCTGATCCCTTGCATTACCAGGCCTCTCCATGTTAAAGGTGTGTTCCTCCCTTTGTTGGTAGTAAATGAACATGAAATGATATTTTGAGACTGTAGGAAATTCTTTTTTTTTTTTTTTTTTT